GGGAGCTCGGGAAGGTGAGCTCGGGTCCCGCCGGGCCGGTGGTTGTATCTTACCCCTTTCACCAGGCGCTGGGCTCTCGCACGTGTGGATGTAGTCTGGCTGTTGTCCTGTGTCTTCTGGTCTCTCTTTTAGGATTAGTTGTATTTGTTGTATTTTCAAAAATATATATGTTTTTGGGAGGAGATTCCCACTGTCCTACTCACGCCGCCATGTTGGCTCTGCCCCTGATATGCATTTTCTTGATGATTAGTGATGTTGAGTATCTTTTCATGTCTGTTGGCCATCTATGTGCCTTCTTAGGAAAAATGCGTATTTGGGTACGGTGCACACTTTTTAATGGGATCACTTGTTATTTTTCTGGAGTTGAGTTGTATGAATTTTTTAAAATATATTTTGTTTATTAGCCCCATATTGGATATATAATTTGCAGATATATTCTCCCATTCAGTAGGCTGCCTTTGCGTTTTGTTGTTGGTTTTCTTTGCTGTGCAGAAGCTTTTTAAGTTGAAGTAGTCCCACTTGTTTATTTTTGCTTTTGGTTCCCTTGCCTGGGGAGACACATCCCCCCAAAAATTACTGTGAATGTTCAAGAGCTTTCTGCCTATGTTTTCTTCTAGTTCTATAAAAGCTATGTTTTATAGTTTCAGGCTTTATATTTAGGTGTTTAATCCATTTTGAGTTTATTTTTGAATGTGGTGTAAGACAGTGGTCCGGTTTCATTCTTTTGCATGTAGCTATCCAATTTTCTCAACAACATTTACTGAGGAGACTCTTTACAGTGTGATTTTTTTCTAAATGGATCTAACTTTGAAAGAAATTCTAAAGAAGTTAACATATCTAGTGGGAAAGAAACCTGATTACTCTCATTCTGTTAGTATATACTGTGCACTTGAAACAGTGAATGAAGATGTGAGTGTTGCAAACTTTCTGGTTGTTGATTTAACGAATATTTATTGAACAATTGCTATGTCATCCACTGTGTTAGGTGGTAAGATTCAGTGTTGAGTAAAACCAGATACTTAACCTTCATGGAATTTATAACCTACTGGAAGGAAGACACATTAAACATAATTAGATTAAAAGTAAAATTAAACTTAATTAAACTAAAACTAACAGTCTTGATAAGTTCTAGCAGTACTCTAAGTGCTCATAAATGGAATATTTTACCTTCTGCAGGAGGCCAGAAAATATTTCCCTGAGAAATGACAGTTGAGCCAACATCAGAGGGATAAGATGTTTCCAAGCTAACTTGGTCAGAAAGAGCATTCATACGAGAGAATATTGCAAGTGTAAAGACTTGGAGGTAGATGTGATCCTGGTGGGTATGAAGGAATAAAAAAGGCCCATGTGACCATCCTAAGAGCAATTGGAAACCACTGGGAGCGTTAGGTAAAAGTGTGACATCGGATCTGCATGTTAAATAATGTATTATGACTGAATTGTGGATAACTGGGGAGGGACAAGTGTGAGTTGGAAATAATCTTAAACATACTCAAGAGGAAATACCGGGTAGGCAGTTGTAGTTGTATATTTAGATCTGGACTAAAAGAAAGATTCCAGACAAAGGTAGAAATTTTTGAGTCATCTTTGTTTAGGTGGCAAATTAAAACAATATATACGTGTACATCTTTAGGGTTCAAAAGTATATTGTGAAAAGAAGAGTTGGCCTTGAACTCATGACTGATTAGACGTCTGTGAACCTTAGAAAACCAAGATAGAGTGTGTAGAGACGAAGGAGGAAAACCAGGGGAGTGATCTGTCCTGGAAATCAAGGACAGAGTGTTTCAAGGAGGAGGAGGCAGTCAGCAGTGTCCAGTGCTGCTGAGATGTCAAGTAAATGAAGTCTGAAAAATTCCTGTTGAATTTTGTGATAGCTTTAAGTGGACCATTGGGAAGGGAAACTGGAATTATGTGGAATGCATGAAATAGTTTGAACTCTTTAAAAGCTTAGCTCTGAGGCAGTTGAAGAGAGAGGGTGCTCCAAGTAAACTTTGTAGTGTGGATGTTTTGTTGTGTCTTTAGTGAAAATGATCCTGGCATGATAAAAAATCACTGGGAAACATCCATTTAAAGAGATTGACAATGCTAGAGGAAAGGAATAATCTATAGAAAGGGTTCTAGGAAGGCAGAAAAGGATGGGCTCCCAAAACACAATTAGGAGACTAACCTGACATATGTGTAGGGGTATTTCTTATAACTTTATTTATTAATAGAGGATGAGGATGCAAGTAAATTTGTATTTGTGGTAATAAAAAATGATGGTTCCCATCTGATATTTATTTTCTCCATGAAATTGAAAAAAAGAGTAAGAAGGTCAGATATTTTAGGAAAGAAAGCATGCGAAGGTTTAAAATAGTCGTTGTAGAGTGTATTGACCAAGAAAGTACAGTAGAGTTGCTAGGAAGTGTAGAGGCCAGTCAAGGTTAGCCCTGGGGGATTTATCATAGAATCTCAAGAATTTCCTGCCTACTGGAGTGCTGTGAAAAAAGATTAAGAATGTTGCTTTCATCCAGGATTAACCAGAAGGAGTTTAAGGTAAGTGTTGATCATGTACCCAAACTGGATAAAAGGAAAATTAAAAGGCCTAACCATTTAAGAGAAGGTGAAAGGGGTAGTGAACTGGTGGTTTCAGTGAAGTCACAGACCGTTGTGGTGGATGAAGTTAAATAAGCAAGTTGATGGAAGTTGTGATCTCACTGTGGAGTATTTGAATTCATGATTTTAGAAATGGAGTAGTTATTAGTGATGACAAGGGTTACAGTGTGACCATGGATTGTGGGTGGCTGAGATGGAAAAGATTAGGTCATTATAAAAGAGAAAGTCAAGAAGTGAGGATGTAATATCAGATAGGTTATTCAAGTGGACATCTGCCTCACCCAGAATGATGGCAAAACTTAGGATGGAGAGAAATTATAGATTGGTTGCCAATATCTTCAGTGGCTAAGGGATGAATGATACTAATAGGAGATAAGAGAGTCTGTTAAGGCTAAATCCAAGAGCCTTGAAGAAACAGGATGAGGTTGATAATACTATTTTGGTGAGAAGAATTTGAGGGCTTGTGTGTGCCAGGCACCCTTGCAAGGCACATAAAACACTGTGTAAATATTGCAAGGCCCTGTCCTCTGAGAGGAGGTCAGACTATAGAAGAAGGCAACCTTACATGTGCAGTTAGTGACAATACAGTGAGATCCTACCTTCAAAGTATAGTGGGAACCTCAAGGAAGAACAGGTTATGTTTAGCTGAAGAAATCATTGAAGGTTTCACAGGAGAGATTATATCTGAACTGAAGTTTATGTAGTTCCTCAAGTGGAGGAGGAGAAGGACATTACAGGAAGAATTATAAGATGTATGGCTCCTAACAATGACAGACAAACATAAACTCAAAATGATAGCATCCCTTCTCGTACTAAGCAGTGTCGTAAGATGGAGTTCTCTATCATTATAATATCTCCATCTCTTTGGCAATACTTCTATTTTTTTGTTCTAGAGTTCAACATTGTTTTCTAATAGGATGATTGAAGGCATGTATCTGGTGTGTGTATGTCCTTGTGTTTTTGGTGTTTCTTTTAAAGTTATGCTTGAAATAATATATTACCAAAAATAAATGTGGAGGTGCTCTATAAATAAATACAATTCTTTGACATATTTGCTATTGTTGTTCCAAGCACTCCTTCAGGGAATTAAATGTCTCCCATTATGGGTGAAGTTCTGTTTTCAACCACAAGGACGCAAAGATGAACATGATGGTCTCTGACCTCAGGGAACTCATCGTTTATTATGATCCAGGAACAGGATGTATGGGTGATATCAATATATTAACCACGGAATGCTATGACCTTTTTAAAAATCACAACTTATTTCTCTTAAATCCTCAGACATGGTTTTAGAATGTTGATTTATTCCTTTGCTGTTTATGGAAGAGGTTTGATTTCATCAAACTGAATATAGTTAAACAAAAATTTGGTTCAATTGGTAATCTATAATGAGACTCAAAGCAAAGTATGTTTCTTCTTGAATTAAGAGCTTACCTAATTTTGGCTTTATTCCTCACAGGTTGTGAAGATGAGAAAAGAAGTGAAGAGAATCTGAGTTTTTATCTGAAAACTTGTCAGGAGTGTGAGCAGACTGGAGTCAAAAAAGTTAGTCACTTAAACTAATGGTCTTGGGACTAATAAAATGTGAAAAATTGTTTTTATTCAGCATTTACAAAAGTGAAGGGTGGGACCTAGAGGAATAATTAAATATCTTACTCATGCAGCACTTTGTTTTATATGTGGGAAGGATGTGAGTGAGATAAAATGTGCTGTGTCAGCATGTCATTATTTGGTTTGTACCTTATTCACTTTAAAATGTGTGATGAATTCTTCTGATTTTTTCCCAAACTCTCCTTTCCGCCATTTTGGAATGAAAGCCCTTTGAGGTTGTTTATGTGTTTTATGTTATTGGAAGTTACTTTAAGATGTTGCTATAGTCTGACAAATGAACTAATGCTTTGGACCCGTTACAAAGATTTTATATCACTTTGTTCCTTGAATTGGTGGTTGATTTGAAATTCTCAGTGTCTTGTGAAAGTGCCTATGAAAACAATGTGTTCAACCTAATTTTTTTGAAAATGTACTTTGTAATTTTAGTTTCACTAGTATTAGAGGAAAAATATGCTATCTATAATTTTTATGCTTTAAGATGTGCTTTATTCCTGATTAACTTCTTGTTTCTTCTTAATAAATATTTCAGAAGATAGCCTTCCTCTCCAGTATAATCAGATTTTTAACTTAGATATTTCATTAACTCCAGAGAACAGATTTTCATTTTATAAAATATAATTCAACCTTTAATTATAGCTTATGAAATTTATATCATTAAAACAAAGCATTATTAATCTGTTAATTAAAAAATATTATTTGGCCATCCTATTAAGGAATAGAAGGCAGACTGATAATGTTAATAGTCATTAATACAATGCTGGGACAATGCTTCTTTTTGCCAAAAACTTGAGTTTGTTGATGGAATTGAGTTTGTTGAGGACAGTACAGGATGAGAGTGTTATTTAGAAATTTATTATGCCTTTTTAAAAGAAATGAAGAAAGTTTTCATTTAATGTGAGTCTAAGAGAAGTGCTTTTCTTGGCTGCATCTTGTATTATCCGCAGGGGTACTGAAGATGCGCTGTTAAAAAGCCAGAGATGAGCACGACAACGATTGCTTGAAGAAATCCCTGCCATGAAGGTAAGGACTTACTACAGGGGTGTGTGCGTACGTGTGTGTACATGTTTCCTGTCAGCCTGCACTTTGTGGGTGTGTAGGGGGTAGGGGTAAGTAGTGTTATTTATTTGAATATCGAGTTGACCAAGACTTATTTATATGGGTCTGTTTGGTGCAGAATGTAGCACTTTTAGAAAATTGTAATGTTTAAGCTTGCATTTTTCCATGTTTTTTCTGAAATTTGTTAAAGTACTAGACTAATTTGAGCCAAACCATGCCAAACTAAACTCATCGATGTTTAATGATGCCTCATGCCTAAGGTTTTTATTTTTACTATAATGTTAGCCATAAAGTCTAAGAAGTTCAGGCATTGAATGTTCATATTGTTTGGTAATGTGGATGGTGATATTGGAGGCTGACATCGTGCTTTGCCTATTGCCAACTAAGTACATTTTTGTGTGGTGGTATCAGCATTTTATTCAGCTCTGTAGGAATTTGAAGTAAAATTAGTGTTGAATCAAAATGATCTATATTTTTGTTTCTTTCAGCCAGACTCTTCACTAGCATAATATTTAGGTCTTCTCACTGCTGTTTCTTTGTGGAAACTTTCATTTACGAAGTGACATAGTATTAAATGTCTGGGAGACTGTTTTATTGCAGAACTTAAACACAACATTTGGTACCAACAATTATCTTAATTGTAGGGTCATTTTGCATGTATATTTGACTATTA